GTTGACGTTTACGTGCCATAAAAAGGGGATTGGTTGTAATTACGCTCCCAGCACATTGGTTTTTGCAATTTGCATATTAAAATTGTCCTTTCTCATACACAAAAGTTTATGGGATTGCCCAATATGTGCAATATCTTCCTTTAAATTTGTCAATGATAGTGACATCTGTAGCAAACACAGTATAAGAAGCAGTACATAGATACTTTGACGTACAATGAAATTCAAAACTTGAATAACCTCTTACCATTTTCATGAAAGTTTGGTCAATTAATTTCAGTTACCGAAGACATTAATAGGTACCTCCCGGTAGGTTCCATTTTATAGAAATAGCACAGTATAAAGATTATATACAGTAGGTTCACTTGTTTCGTCTACTTAAAATACCGACATATTTTGCAGGTTATCATAAATTAAGTTTATATGTGCCGAACTGTCATATACGATCCAGTTCAATAGCTTTTTAGAAGTATATAGATACAAAATGTATTTGTACTATGCCTTCATGATGATATTCTGTACAACCCAGCCCCTGCTTAGCAGAAAGCTCATAGATAAAGTGGAGAAGCGGCGACAGGAGAGGGATGTATGGCCGTGGCTGGGAAGTGAACCTACTGTATAGAATCTTGAACATACATGTTCATCCTGTGTCATTGCACAGTTTTGTAGAAGACTGCAATTTCATCACACGATATTTTAAGTTTACTTTAATTACGATTAGTATATTGGCTTTGATTGATTTTCATTTAAACTGAGTGTAGAAAAAGTGATTGAGCACCAACAAGGTTACGCGTTATTCCATACTTTACAACCTCTTCTTTTAATGTTGCCGCTACTATAGCTAATTGAGTGTTTTTAAAATTTGAAAACATGTAGATAGCTAAATTGTTGTATTAATAAATTTTAATAGTTAGGTCGCAAAAATATGAAAATATTCAATTTTTTAGCAGTTCTTTGTTGCTTATCACTTTACTTCAATAATTATTGCAACTACAGTTTCAACAAATATTGTTGTCATTATCAAACAATTCAAAAGCGTATAAATTGTAATGACGTTAATCTTTATGGATATTATAATTACAATAATTTTTGAAATAATATAATAAACAAAAAAGTAATGTGTTGCTTCTTTTATTAATGCGAATTTTTAAATTAATTGTATAGTTGTTCCGCTTATATTAATCAACTAAAATAAATATGGAGCTAAAATATGCGTGAAAGGTCATGAAGTTGATTGAAAAGTTAATGACTGTTGCTAAATAAGTTAAATGAATTCAACATTATATTTTACTGACAGCTTCAAGTCATTAGCTTAAACTCGTTCTGTTCCAATTCCATTTCTAAAGATTGAATCTATTATTTACTGTAATAGTACCAAAGTCTAAAAATAGTAGCTAATAATGAAACTAGTTAAAAAATATTAAATTTATTTTCATCGGAAATGCAATAAGGTGCAGGCCGTGGCGCCTAGTAAATTTTAAAATGCCGAAATTTTAGTAGTAATTTTAACTTTTAATAGTTTGGCAATGTAATACAGCAGTGCACTTTGGGAAAAAAGGTTTTAAGAAAATCACAATAGTTTACTATCTGAAGCCGGCCCTGTGCATAAATTGACCACATAGGTATCTGCCGAATAGCGTAGTGCACTAAAAGCTCTGCAGCTACATGGATGAAGAATGTAAACATTGGCGATTATCAAGGGTGTAAGATACACTTAAACAATTTATTAAAACCAATCACAAGAATGTTTCAACAATGATATAATTAGAAAACAACTCTACAATTGCTTCGACCTACTCGATCATTTTCAAGAGTACAGAAAAGTAACTCAATTATATTGTAGTATTGTTAAAACATTGTCCTGTTTTATTCTAATATTCAACATGTTTCTTTGCAAATACACCTACAATAGTCAAACAATTTAGTACTACACATAATGTTTAGACTAAATAAATTGTCATTTTAAAAGAGCGTAGGTTTTCATTGCCGGTGTCCTCAGTACATTTTTTATTATTTACTGTAATAATTTAAAGACAGCGGCCAAAAAACCCGAAAATAGATAATAACTTTACTAATTGTAGCTTTATTGAAGCATATTTTTACACCACCGTTGAGATATTGCAAAGGCAAATTAGTAGTAAGTAAACTTAACCAAAAAAGTCAAATTATTCTCCATTTCGCACCACATATTTAAAAACAATTCTTGAAATCTCTGAGAAACCGCTATCACAAATTCATTCGAGGTTACAAGCAAGACTTGTACTCGCTGCAAATGATAAAGATGCGACAAATGTTCTTCTAAATTTTGCCACACTGTCACATGAAAAGAGCCAACGTTCCCTGCTATTTTGGGGATTGTCTTCTTTAAAACCTAAAGGTCATGTTACATGGCGCGTGGAATTTGGATCAGCATATCATGCGCGCACCACCATAGCCGTGAAGAGAAGCCAAAGAAACCACTAGAAACGCGCCTATTCGCTCCAAACCGCGCCGAACCTGGTGCACAGAGCCATGTATTAGCATTAAACGCGCATGGGCTGAGGATTTACGGAGATTAGTTCAAGATAGGAAGGAGTAGAGGTGTGTGTCCAACCAGTCTTAGGACTGACGACCTTATGACGATGATAACAACTCTTGAAACCTCGGCACTAATTTCGTACACCTTGTATTGAGTATCCACCTGTTTTTATATTTTTCATAAAAAAAGAATGTATTTAAACTGACTTTCCTTTGAAACATTGTTCTTTTTTGTTACCTGTCAAAATCCTTAATTAATTGGATTCTGTATTAAAAATACTCTTGCTGTTTCTGTCTTTCTCTTGTTGTTCTTTGTTAGATTTCAAAATATTCAAATTTTGTTTTACGAATCCATCTAATGGAAATAGTCAAATACCCTCTCAGTGAAAAATTTCAACAGGAGAGATTTATCACATCGTCTGCAGCTATTCGTTAACTCGTTTATGTTTAAATACTACATAATGTATTTTCTAATATCATCTTTAACAAAATACATTGATAAAGCGTCCAACTGTAACTATACAGGCAATATATATAGAGTTTAATTAGGAATAACACAGGTACCTACTTCTACTTTCTTATTATTTCTCTTAAAATAAGGCAAATAAATTTAAAACTTGAAACTTTCCAGACACTAGTTCAGAAATCAATTAACACATGATACCTACCTGCCTACTATTAGGATTCACTTCATTTTCTTATAAGGCTTTCGGTGGATATAAGTATTATTTAATAAAATTAAACAGATGTTAAGATATTATTTTCGAAATTATTTTAATCACTTTGTCTTTCTGCTTTAAAAATTAAAGATTTCCTCTCGAGTATTGCCAATATTAAATTTGAATGATAAAAAATATACAACTGTAATCCTACAAAATTAAATTCTTATCACCAGAAAAGTTAAATTGTCCTAATTGTTTGACGCAATTTTAGAAACTGATTATTTCCCTGCTTTTAAACAATAGTAAGACGTTCGTTGTCTAGAGTCCTCGTTTTTTTTATTTTTTTTTGTCTTTCCTTGATCGCTAATGATTGTGTGTTTAATGAAAATCCTCTTCTTTAAACTTTGAACCCCAAGATTCGTAGCAGAGGCAAAGTAAACGGAACCAAACGCGAGCAGAATCTCAAAATCGTGCTTAATTCTAATTCTATTATTACCCTCGCTCGGCTTGTCTCAGACCGCTAAACTGTTTCTCCTAATCTTCCCCTCATCCTCGGCAATAAATTAATGCATTACCTCCAAATGCGTGCATGCGTAACACTACTAACGCTCCTCGAGCTCGTTTAAGCAGAAATATCTCTCTCCAAGACAATTTCCTTGGCCCCCAAGTGTCACGGGGATTAGATATGTCTTCGTCCAAAATCAAATTAATCGTCTTAAGTTTACACGGAACACTCGCTGAGAATGTACATAACATGAAATCACTGAACATTTCGAGTTGTAGTACAACATCAAGATGATTTTATTTTCAATTCTATGGCTGCTTGTAGAGTAAATCTAAAGCTGATATCTATCAAAAAATTAAATTAAAAGCCCAGTTTTTCCATTTTGTCGTCTTTTTCTTCATTATTTTGCAATTTGTTTGTGAAGTCTGACCAAAAAGTAAAGTAAAACTTCAAGTAAAAGTTTTGTTGCCATTCGTTTTTCCACCTGTCCGTTGAAGTTTCACTTCTAGTATGTGTCCCAGCACACATTTTTTCAGGGTTTCGTCTTCACAGGTTTACTGCAATTTATGATTTGGTTTTTACACAAACTGCAAATGGAGACAATGATGCCCAACCACGTGGAGAGCAGAGGTAAGAAAACAACAGCTGAGCACAGCACACGCCGCCGGAACTCTAGCGCTAAACTCCCCGCTCTCCACGCGGCTGCGCATTATATTCATCTAATACAGCCATTGCCCTCTCTCCGCCCCCGCCAGCCTTTCTCTCCTACCGCCGCTGACGCCTCTCAACGCGCGATATATCGTCTACCCCCTCCACAAAAAAAATCGTAATACCACTACACTATTTGTTAGTTTGAACAGAGGAGTAAAAGAAACACTCTCTTAAATCTGTGCTCATAAAAGTATTTTAAAATGTTGGTAGTTCTGGTAATAGAAACTAATTTCTAAGCGTCAATCGTTTTGTAACTCGTTCAGCAAAACAAAAACGCCCCTCAGCTGGTTTAAAAAAATCAGATGAACAACATTACGTTGTATTTGTATTACAATTTAATTTTCATTAGCCGTTATCACCCTCATAACTAAATGGATTCGTCTATTCCACTCTTGAATGAAATTATGTATTAAATTGTTTTTTTTTTATATAACTCATAGATTCCAATCCAAGTTACTTTAAACTGCAATTTTATCATCATTTTTAACGAAGAAACGATATACAAAACAGTCAAAACCCATTATAAAGTACTTGTACTTAGTTTCCTTGATATTCTTGCATTTTCAAAACCAAAATGTTTTGAAAATAAAGTGAATTATTTGTTGTAGAGCCAAATTTCGTCGGATCGTTTGATATTGGCGAGTACGTCTTCTTCTTCTTCCGTGAAACGGCAGTTGAGTACATAAATTGTGGTAAAAGTGTATATTCGAGGGTAGCCCGTGTTTGCAAAAAGGACATAGGCGGCAAAAATATCCTTTCCCAAAATTGGGCAACATACCTCAAAGCAAGGTTGAACTGTTCAATTCCAGGAGAATTTCCGTTTTACTTCAACGAAATACGTAAGAGTCACTACCAAATAATCGTCCTTTTGTCATC